TGCCCGCTGCGCCCCCCTCCACCACACCCTGTTCCCCAAACCGCGCCCCTCCGACCCCGGCTCCCGTCCCCAAGTGCCTAAGCACGACCTCTGTCCCAGGTGCCATTTCTGCGCAGCCACCAGCCCCCGTGGGAACACAGGTTCTCTCCCTGGAACCCTTCCTGGTGCAGCCCCTGAAGCTGGCACCTAATAGCCCTGGGAAGCGGCGACCTTGGTGAGAGGGGCGGGGTGGGCCAAAGTCTCCCTTGGCCGGGAGCGCAGCCTTCCTAGACCGGGAGGAGGGAGACGGAGCGAATTAGACTGGAGAAGCGTCGTCGAGGAGAAGAGGCCTCCCCTCGTTTTGTAAACTGCTCAGATGTGCCTGTGGCCCCTGCCCGGCCTGGGAGTCAGCACTAGGTTTGGCGTTTGTCTTGTGGGGCTGCCCAGCGGGGGAGCTAGTGCTCCCCCCTCTGCTTTGGGCCTGGGGAAGCAGACGGAACCGCCTGGCTGAAACTTACAGCCAGGTCCTCCCACTGCCGTCCTGCGATCCCAGCCATGGCCAGGGGACAGTGGACAGAGGCTGGAGATGGGAGGCAGGGCTGTCTGTGAGACAAGGTAAGAGAAGTAGAGGAGAGAGAAGGGGATGTAGATGGAAGAGAGGGAAGGGGCTGGCTAGCCAATTAGCAAGGGAACGGAGAAGGCAGGTGGGGAGATGAGATGACAGATCCGCCGTCTTGCAGCCTGGGGTGGGGGTCCTCAAAAGGGACGTCCCCCCTCTTCCCCTGTGACTGTCCCCCCTGGGGTGGCGGCTGGCCACGGCCGTTGATTGTTCTGGGAAGCCCAGCCCCCCTTCCCCACACACTGTACACAGCTGCCCGCCCGCTCTTATTTATTGCACGAATCTAAGTTATTCTCTCCAGCCAGAGCCCTAGCGCCCACTCCCTGGGAAAAGTGGCGTGCGGCCCTGAGCTGGACTTTATATTTTATATCTGCAAATAAATCACATTTTATCTTATATTTAGGGAAAGCCGGGTGGCAACAACCACCAAAAAATGTTTTTAAAAATATTGCCCGGCCTCCAGAATTTATTTATTTTCTGACTTACAGTAAGCGAGTTATCCGCCTTCTGTATTTTGTAGACTTTCTGAATAAAGTCAAGTTCTCTTTTTCCACAGTGAAGAAGTGCATGTCCTGAGCTATGGTTTGTTTGTTGTTGTTGTTTTTTTTGGGGGGGGGGCGTTCTGAGTGAGGGGACCAAAATGGAGTTCTGCTTTCCCAGCCCAAGCCGAACCCTCTGCTGGGCGGGAGGGCTAACTCCAGTTTGCAAATAAAAGCTAAGCACCATCGCTGCTCTTGCCTGTGCCTACGCTGGTGGGGGGAGTGGGGGGGGGGGCGCTGGAAGTGGAAACCCAGATGGGTGGTGCCCAAACATGTCCTTCCTTCTGGGTGCCTGAGCCAGGGATCCTCCGTGGGGAAGGCAAAGCCGGGAGCACAATGAAATGTAGGGTTAAGTTTCTTTCCTGGGCATCCCTTCAGCGAAAAAACAGTCCCGCTCAGAGAGGAAAATTCCCAGCTTGAAGAGTCATCTCCCAGCACTTTCACGTGGAGGGCTGATCTACAGCCAAGTAGAAAACACTTTCCTGGTGTTCTGGAAGGCAGTTTTTTCCTCAGTCCCAGCCTGCAGGCCTAAAAGCAGCTCCATCTCATCCTAGGGCCCAGGCGGCAGAGTGCACTGTGCCGGGCAGGGGAAGCGGGGTTTGAATCCAGATGTGAGCTTTCCTAGCTGTGTGACCTTTAGTGGCTTATGTAGCTGCTTGCAGCCTCGGCTTATCCATCTGTGCCAGGAGGGTACTCCGAGGGCACGGGTGACCAGCACTGGGAGCCGGAGGGGCTCAAGCTTGAACACAGAAATGTTTACAGGAGGTGCACCGCTGCAGTGAGGATTTCTGAGAGGCCGGCTGTGGGTGTGAAGATGGCGGGGCTGGGAGAAGGCACGGGATAGGAAAGTTGGGGAAAGGCCAAACCACAAAGGTTGGCCTGATCCACAGGCCTTCCTCCTCCCCCTCAGGTGGGGGCCCTTGATCCTCACCCGATGCTGAGATGCTGAGTTCAGGCCTAAGGAAAAGGCAGCCGGAAGCTGCAGGAGAGCCAAGCTGAGGCTGGGAATTTCCCCACCCCCACCGCATTCCTGAGGGCCCAAGTCAGCAGCCCCCCCGCCCCCCAAGCCCCCTCGAAGGCATGCGGAGGTGGCTGCAGGAAGGTGCCTTGCCCGGCCAGACACCTGGCCTGGTGGGTAGAGGCAGTGCCCCCCTGCCCAGCAGGCCCTGCTCCAGGCCTGGCCCTAGGGGGCGGCACCGAGGGTCCCACAGTGGAGGCTGGGTCCAGGGAGGCAATTTTAGCCTCTGATGATGTGAATTCCCCCCATGTTCGCACCGGAAGGACAAGGGTTTCCTAAGACACCCCTGCTCACAACCACGAAACCCACCCCAACACGGGGGTGGGAAGAGGAAGGAAAAAACCTCACGCACAGGCAGAGGAGATTTCAGTACAATCTATATTATCTCATATATATATATTTCTTCCTCACTTTATTTGCTCACTTCTGTCACGCATTTAAAATGTCACAGAGACCAAAATAGAGCGACTTTCTGGTGGAACTCACGGCAGTCATACACGAGATATAAAACTAAGGGACTCTGTCTTCTCATACATCATACAATTAATTTTTCAAGTATTTTTTATATACAAAGATCTACTCTATTGGGAAAAAATTTTAAAAAAGACAAGGTTGGTTATGAATCCTAGGAAGTAGGTGGCGTGGTCAGGCCGCTCCCAGCCCGCACCTCGGGGCCTGGGCAGGGAGCAGCCCCACACTTTGGCCTGGAAGGAGGACCAGAGAAACAGAAGGGAAGGGAAATGGTGGGAGCGGGGCCGAGGGCGTTCTCAGGCAGCCTGCACGCCTGCTGCCTTCCCAGGCAGCTTGGGGCTGGCTGGCCAAGCCCCCCAGACAGGGACCCGAAAGCTGGCCTCAGTACCCCTCAAGCAGGCCTGGCCCCCCCGCTCCCACCGGGAGGGCTGGCTTGGTCACAGCGCCAAGTGCCCAGAAAGACGCCTGGGATGAAACCCCCACCGGACCCTGGGCACCGTTCACCCAGGAGCGGCCAAGAGGAAAGATTCCGTAGTGAAGTCTGAAGCCACGGGCGGGCCCTTCTCCCTGCCCTTCCCCGGCTGCTGCAGCCCAAACACGCGCTATCTCAGGACGGACGCTCTGCCTGTCCAAACAGGCAATGTCCATCAGGTCTCCTCCTGACAGTGGCTGATGTGAGCCCGGGCTGCACAGGGGCTCTGGCCCCAGGTGTGGGGGTGGGGTGGGCAGGGGGAGGGCCTGGTGGTCCTGGCCACCGAGGCCTGTCCAAGGGCGCCTGGCTCAGCACTGCAGGAGCCTGAGTGCCAGCAGCTTAGCAGGGAGGCCCCAGGGAGTGTCTGGGACAGACTGAGGCCTGGGGAGGGGAGCGTTCATGTGTGACTAAGGCACAGAAGAGATGGGCTGGGGCCAGATGAGCAGGACACCAGGCCGTGTGGGCATGGGGCCGGGGCCCTCCTGCAGGCCCAGCCTTTGTCCGCCCTCCCACAGAACCGTGTCCTCCGGAAGCTGGTCTGAAATGTGGACTCAGACTCTTTCCCTGAAATGGGAGGGAGAAGCCCCAGCAATGATCGGGGCCAGCAAAGGTCTGACTGCTCAGCCAGGAAGGAAGGTGGGAGCCCCTGACCCTCTGAGCAGCCAGGCAGTAAGGGCTCTGCCCCAAAAGCTCTCAAGACAGACCCAGGAGAGGGGCAGTGGGGGCTGCCGCTGTCCTCCGCAGGCCAGGGGGAAGGAGCATGCGACAGAGGTACAGCCACAGCAAGGACAGCCAGGGGACGCAGGGACCTCACGTGGAGAGGCCACATCCGCAGAAGAGGGGCCCAGAGGCACCTGAGCACCTTCCTAGCAGGACCTGTGGCTCCTGGCGTCTGGCTGAGCCTTGCAGCAGGCCAGGCAGGCCGGGTCAGGAGGGGCTCCACAGACAGCTTCCTCCCTCCTCCCTCCTCTTCCTCCTCCTCCTCCTGCCCAGAGGAGCTAATATAGCACAAGGGGGCGGAGGAAGCAGGGGGCAGAGCTACAGTGCACAGTGTTGGGGAGGGGCTGTGGGTCT